TTGCAGTTTGTCAAATATTAAGTTGATTAGTTTAGTCTGCAATTGCAACACATTTGAGGAAAGAAAAAATTCTTATATATGTAAATCGTTGTTTTACGTTTATTATTTTGGTAAAAGGTCTTCATCATAAATAGATTACTCTTAATAAAAAAAACTCTACTCACATGGTTACCATTAAAACAAAAAAAGGGGAGGGGCTCTTAATTAGCGGAGATGTCAAAATATTGACGAAAGCGAAACTTCGAGTAATAAAAGGAATATTTAGTAAATGGCAGCAAATTACTTTACCGTTTGCAAAAAATTATTGAAATAAAGAGGCCATCTATTCAATATAGAAATAATCAGAGTTTAGAAGGCTTAACATGACCGGGTCCGTTAGCTTTGTTTGCAAACATGAGATTATGTCACGTTAACAACCTCAAAAGTCAATTTAAAACATGTTTAGTAGCAAAATGTGATATATACAAGTATAAATGTGATAGTATAGTAATACTCTTTTATCATTTTTTAGCTAATAAAATGGATTTAAGACTAGATTGATTTTTGTTTCCTGTTAAACCGCAGTAAATAAAAATTAGAAGGCTATTTGGCCCCGACAGAATATGCGACAAGTTTGTATTAAACTCATTTACACAAAAATGGAATTAAGACAAGTTAGCTCCTAAAATTATCTATATGTACAGATATGTTTATTGCACTTATTAGTAAATAAACTGATTAGTTGCGTAATGAGTTTAAATTTTAGCCATTTTATTAAAGTTGATAATCCTAACGTACTTAATTAAACATGCGTGATGTAATTTGCATAGCTAAATTAAATGCTCTTTGCGCTTAGTGTTGCGCAGTTTGGTTTGTGCGCAGTTTTTCTTCTGTTCTGGAATTTTGAGATTAGAATTTCCAGACTTATTTTAAAAAGCGCGTTTTCGTTTTAATTTTTTTTTACATCTAATCGTACCTATCAAGTAGGTCATATTCAGTATAATCAATTCAATCGTTTTCATTTTTTATGTTTTAACATGTCTATTACCTTTATTAAATTTGTTTTTAAGCATATTTGTTTTTATTTTTTATATCGAATTAATAGAATGAATCAGATTGAAGATGAAGGTTTGTATTTATTTAGATAGTGTATTATGTTACAGATGTATGTTATGTTGTTAGTTCTTAAATATATGTTTATTTTTAGTTGCTGAATTACTAAGAAGTAAGTTTTCTTTCATTTTGTTATTAACAAATGTTATAAATTGCATTTATATGTTTGTTAATTTAAATTAACTTTACAATATTAAAATGGTTTAAACAAACTTAAACGAACTTTTGTAAATGAATTTAATCCTCAAAGATTAAATTTTTTTTATTATTGAAGAAATTAAACTAGATTTAAGAATGAGTCAACTTAAATGTTTGTTTGTTTTTCTATTTAGATGATGACAATATTAAAGCAAGTAAGTTAAAAAGCATTTTTAAATTTTTAAAAAGAAATAAAAATACTTTTCAATATATATCTGTTTTCTTTGAGGTAGATTTAAAGTTTCAGGTTTTTAAAATCATATATATTATAAGATTTAAGAATGAGTCGACTTAAATGTTTGTTTGTTTTTCTATTTAGACGTTGTTGATAATATTGGAACAAGTAAGTTATAAAGCATTTTTAAATTTTTAAAAAGAAATAAAAATACTTTTTAATATGTTTCTGTTTTCTTCGAGGTAGATTTAAAATTTCAGGTTTTTAAAATCATATATATTATAATATTAAATTTTTTTTTACTTTAAAAATATCCATATATAGTTACACTGAGTCGTAGAAAAAAAATTAAAGTTTATTAATAAGGTAGTAGATTATTAGAGTAGATTAAATTGTTTGATCTATTAATCAACTTAATAACGTACTATTAAAGTAAAGATTTATTTTGGTTGTTTGTTAAAATTTAGTTATAGTTTATTTAAAATTTAAATTCTTTAGTTAATCAAGAGAGATCTAATAAAGGTATTAATTACATTAGTTGAATGTAGCATTTAATATGCATTTTATCGATATTTTAACGTCTAAACATTAAAGTGCTTTTATTGTTTAGATACAGAAGTGAAGAAGGAAATAAGTCAGTGTTTTTGCTATTAGATATTTGTTATTAGGAATTTGTTTATTTGTACTGCCACTGGAATTTTAAAAAATCAAGTTCTTTAGCTTTTTTTTTATACTTTCTTTTAGGGGAGTTGGAACAAAAACTAAGTATAAATTATGATTAGTTTAGTTTAATAAATAAAGCAATAATATTTAGAAGATTTAAAGTTTACTTTAGTTTATAGTTTTGGTTTAGTTTATAGTTTTGGTTTAGTTTATAGTTTTGTTTTTAGCTTTAGTTATTTTTTTCTTACTTTAGACAACTTTATGGATGAAATGAGGGGGATGGGTAAAACAATTATTTAGATATGTATATATTTATATGTTAACATTATTTTATCGATTATTATATATTTATTTAAGTATATATTTGTCTTTAGTGTCAGGTGAAAGTATAGCTGGTAGGACTGTGTTTTATATTTTATATATTTTGTATGGAGAAATATATGCAATAGGTGAAAAAATTAATTAATAAATATGACACTTTTGAACTGGTTGCATTATTGCCCTATATATTTATTAAAATACAAAATATTGCATGTTTAACCCTTATTAATTTGCTGTTTTTTTTTTGTTTTTTTTTAGCATCTTCTGTTTCGAATGAAAATGGTAAGGTTATGCTAATTTTTTTTTTTTTAATAATTGCAAATGTATAATTTTTATTATACTCTTCTATTTGTAACTTTAGATTCCTTATCATTCGAACAATACCAAAGTTATCGCTCCCAACACCCGGGACCTCTCTCAGAGAGGTCCTTCAATAAATGGAAACGTAATGGCGGTATGGATGAGCCCTCCTTTAAATGGAGGGCTCATCCATACCGGGGTGTTGAGAGACACCGAAGAAAAAACAGCAACCAAAAAGTTGTAAATGTCTTCTATCAGTAGAGATATTTATGACTTTTTAGTTGCTGCTTTTTCTTCGTTTTTTTTTTTTTTTTTTTAATTTTGTAATTTTTAGTTTCGGTGTTTTTTTTTTATTAAAAATTTGTAAATTTTTTTTTTTAATATATTACGTTGTATATTTGATTTGTTTTAATCTTTTTTAATAAAATTTTTAATTGTCTTCTCACCAATTAAACCTGACTTCAAATTTGAAGCCCTCTTAAATACCCCTCCCTAAATTCTAAAGTCAAAAGTTGAATTGATTCATTATCCAATTATCATAATATAATGATGCTGCATTCTTTTGTTAAAAACAATTATTGGGTACTGTTTTTAAAATTTACCAAAACCCAAGGCAATATATTTAGCTATATAAATACAATTTATTTATCTCGATTCTATTCTTTATCTTTTATGTTTATAGTTTGGCTCCTTAAAGCATTTTATGTTTTGCTCTTTTTATTATGAATATTTTAAATCCGTTGTGATGTCTTTTAAATTAAACTAAAGTTTACTAAAAGCCAACATAAAAATTACATTTTTGAACAACACTAAAAAGAACAGCTGCATCCCTACAGCAACTGCTGCAGTATCACAATAGGTTACCAAAAACAGGTATACTGTTTTCCAGTTGTTGTTTTTTTTTTCATATATAATATGAAATATTCATAATACTATAGTACGATTGTTTATATCTCATTCATTTTTTTTTTTTTTTCTTTATCTTTAAGTGTTAATAATTTTATTCTTTGAATGATTTTAGTGAAACAAGTCGGCTTTTCATTAAAGATATTGGTTTTAAAATTGAACATCATTGGCAAAATGCTTACAAAATTAGGTAGTTTTTAAAAATCTGTTTTCTATTTAATACACTTTTTTTTAAATATACTTTTTTAATATACTTTTCTATAACAATTCTACTAATATGGAATCACGTAGCTTTTTAAATATGTTTAATTGTCGTCCCTATCGGTAATAAATATTTTAAATTATTTGATATGGTTTTCTTTACAATAGGCTATGCTTGGCTCCTCGGTGCTGTAAATGGTGGCTTCAACTTTGTTTTTTTTAAGAAAAATGTGTTTTATATATGCTTCTGTTTTAAAATATTTTTGTTACATATTTAACTATATATCATGTAAATAAATTTCTTTTAAAGATAAGTAAACTTGATACTTGCTTTTTTACAGATTTTCAAAAAGTGAACAAAGGTTTAAAATTTCTCAAAAAACACAAAAAAATACAAACCTGCACCCAATATCACCAATACTTGGCACAAATGTTTATAGACATATGTTAGGAAAGATTGTAAGTTATTTTCATAAAATTCCTTACCGTTTATAATTTACAGCAATTTGAAGTTTTTTTGATTTTGACTAAAAACTGAGGGGGGAAAAGTGACGAAAATCATTCCATTTACTTTCACCTTAAAATGGTGCTTGTAGTGATGCCACAATTCTGAAACTTTGTACCAAAAGAGTTTAAAACCTGTTAAATCCAAAAAATATAGTTTTTTATATGTCAAAACAAGGGAATGTAGCTTATTTTAAGATCCATAAAATACACTTTATAACGCCGAGAAAAAAGGGCATTGACAATTATAGCTATAAAAAAAATCTGACTGATATAAAAAAAAATTAATTTCAATTTTCTTGAAAATAAAATCAACACCTACTTTTCGAACCAATTTTGTTTTGACCTTATATTTACTTGAGGAATTATTGATGTTTGATATAGACACAAAATTTGTTAATATTTTTTAAATTAGACTTTTAATATAACTCCACCTTTTACCAATCAATCAAATTAGAAACTAAAAATTTAGTGACTTTATTAACTTTTTCATTTTCATATGATATTTACAACAAAATTTAAACGTATATAAATTTTTTTTTTAAATACTAAACTTTAGTGATTTTATATATGCTTTACATTCACATTATTTACAAGCTGGTTCACAAAACATAATATTTAAAAAAAGAATGGATAACACATAATAGACTCATAAATATAAAAATCTCTACTTCCTTTTTTTTTTTAAGTCTTTTTTGACTAAATAGTAGCAAAGTCCTGTTTTTGTTATCGGTACCTCAACAAAAGATAAACTATGATTACCCATACCTCTTTGCAAACTTGCTAGTGTTGCCAGACATTTGACTGTACCACCTATACCAACACAAGGTTGCTTACCGTGACTAGTTACAAAAAAGTTCCATTTAGCAGTAAAACCAAAATCTTCACAATGGAAACAAATATAACATATTTTTGCAATTCTTATATTGACCTGCACACCCATCTGAAAAATATTCAATATTTTTTATTTGAGGCAAATTTGTTTTTATATCATTGCAAACAACCTCAATAATTTTATAAACCATGTTCACATCATGGATCATATCATCTGAAATAATACAATAGGATTTGTGCTTGAGAATGCCTTCTTTTTTGAAATAAATAATCACTGGATGAAGTGTACATTGTAAATTTGTCCAATGAAAGCTTTGCACTTCATCCTGAACTACAAATTTATAGTTTTCTGAAAAATCACCCAGAACTAATGCTGTTACCTCGTTCATATCTTTCTTGATCTCAGGTATAATGCTTGACTCTTTGCTAAATACAAATGTGGTGCAAGTTTTTCCAGTTTTCTACATACTAGTTCAATGTATTCAAACACTGGCTTTTTATTATGTGTCAAGTTTGAACTATCTGTTGTTGTCCATTGATCAAATTCAATCTCATCATCATCTTCAAATTCTCCAAGGATATCATGAAGTTTTTCAACCAATGCATTCATAGTTGCTGGGCATTTTTCACATTTCCTCAACATACAGTCTTTATTAGTTATATCACAGACAATATAAGGTAACAATTCTTTGTATGTCACACCAAGAGGATGTAAAAGCAGTTTCAAATTCTGATGAATAGCACAGACGCATACAGAATGTGTTCCTGAGGCACCAACAGTAATACACCATTTAGGTCGTAAGGTGCAAAACCTTGAAAATCCTATTTTTATTTCTGGGTTCTTGGTTTTAAACGCAACAAACAATTCCTTTAAATTACATAAGAGCAAACGTTTTTGCATGTGGACATTTTTCTTTATGCTTACATAGTCCTTTTTACCAGGCATTATACGGCTATGTTCATCGTCTTCGTAAAAGGTCTTGACCAGTTGAATTGTTACATCAGGAAGAGCTTTTCCTAATTTAGGATTAGGCATGGTTAAAATACCTTTTTCTAATGTTAACTTACGTGCAGTTCGAGCTACATAGTTTGTTACATGCAATGTTTCAGATACCTTTTTTATTGACCAGTCTGTTGGAGCAAGTGTCGCAAGTTGTACTTTTTTTGATGTTGATGTAGACAATTTTGTTAGTTAACAATACCATCATGTTATCAAACAAGTTTGCTTTTTCCATATACTCATTATTAAAACTTGACTGTTCTTCAAAACTTTTTTCTGATATATTAAGGGAAATGGCTACGTTTTTTTTAATGGAGGTTGTTAATGCTGTCAATTTTCGTTTACCTTCTCTGATTTTACCTGACTTGTGCAACCCTTTGACTTTAATTGGAGATACAGCAGATGCAAAGTGTGTATCTACACTTTCTTTTTTATTTTGAATGGATCTTTCATTAACAATATCAAAATCTTCATCATTTTTATTTTCACTTATACTTTTTGATAAACATGTCATAACTTTACTTCGACAGGTTGGACACAGTTTTTTTCCAGGTATAAGATTTAAACCTATGGTTTCTGCTTCTAACACAGTATGCATTGTAATCACACATAGAGATGCTTAAAAAGAAAGTAATTACATTACTTAAATAACATTAATTATATATATTATGTAATTATATTACTATACAATTTGTTATATTAATAACTATGAAACATTGAACAAATCTTATTACCAAAAAAACTTTTATGACTTATTAATAATATTACCTAATGAAATATAAATATACAAATTTTTACCTCTACACACCTTTTGGTGACTCAGAAATGAATTACAGCAACTTTTCTGATTACCCTCATATCTTACAACTAACATATCATGATGGTGTGTGTATATATTAGTAATTTGTTCTTGTTTCAGATTTGTTTGTTTTTCAAGTAGCTTACGATCATTGCTGTCAATATCTTCAATCAGATTTCTTTCTTGAGTATATGATTGTTTATAACAAGCTCCATAATTATTTACAAAGCAGCAATTAATTTTGTTATCCATATAAAAATATAATGAGGAATCTCTGTCTTAACACTTAATACAAGAAATCTTAAATAATCTTAATGTCCCTAAATTGCCAAAAGAAAAAGCTAAATTAGAAAAAAAGTAAATAAACAACTAAAAAGTAAACCAATCGCGAAAATATGTTTTAAGAAAAAACTAATCGCGAAAGTATAAATATAAGAAAAGTACACTTGAACACAAACAATATCATATCTAGGGATTGCAATCCCGCACACTTTTTAATCCCGCGGGATTCGCGCGGATTTTTGAATTTATATGCGGATCCCGCGGGATTAGTAGATTTCTTATGCACATTATAAAAGGCAAAATGATAATTGTATTTTTCTTTCAATTATTTCAGAAAAAATATACTCAACTTATTAAATTGATAAGATAAGGTAAATGAAGCCAAAAACACAATTCATTTGTAAATCAATATAATTTCTTAATTTAATGATTAAAAGGATAAGATAAAAATACGTAAAACGTCTTTTAGCTTTACGTAGAGCGTCTTTTAGCTTTACTTATTTTTAAAAATAAGTATGAGAAAGTATCATTGTAAGAAATGCGCTCTTAACAAACAGACCCTACTTAAAGTAGGGTCTCATCACATAGTTTACTCCTCAAAGGACTGCATATATAGCCAGCAGCTGAAAAAACTTGCTCGGCCTCTACGCTTGTTGGTGATATAATCATCAAGTAATTATGAGCTATATCTAGAAACTTGCCTCTTACTCGGTTATTTTCATAGGCAGACATTTTCTGCTTCAATAATTTATCTAAGTCTAAAGAATCTAAATTTGGTATCTCCTTTGCATTTTCTGTCCAGCTTTTCTTAACTTTCTGTATATGATTTTCCAATTCTTTTTTCAGCGATAGAATTGAAGGAGTAAGTATTTGGGAATTGTTAATAGAATCTACAGCTTCTTTTTCTTCGAGTGCATTTTCTTCGTCTTTATTTCTTTCAATTGTATAAACTCTTTATACAATTGAAAGAAATAAAGACGAAGAAAAATTTTTTTTAACCGTTATGCGTCAATATTTTTTTTTATTCTTGACGCATAACGGTTAAAAAAAAATTTAAAAAATTTTAAAAAACATTAAAAAAGTATTTTCATTTTTTTTAATTTCTTGTTCATATTTTTTAGGATTTTGTAAGTAAACCAGTAGTCCATTTAAATTCTTATTACGACGTTGTGTAAACCTCTCACGAAGTGCCGCGGCTAAATCAATGCTCAAAAGTGATGATTGCTTTTGTAATTTATCTAACATAAATTTAAAAGTTGTTTCGGCAGTGACAAGGTTCGATTCTCTTCTGCATAGTTCGAGACCAAGTTTTAGTGGTGCCAGACAAATAATTAAGTCATTAATTTGGGACCATTCTTCTTGGGTCAAACGAATTTCTGACCCAACATCAATTAAAGCTTTTTCAATACACACTTTTAGTCTATTAAATCTTTCTAACATATCGAACATACTGTTCCACCTAGTTTTACAATTAAGAATCAACTTAAGCTTTTTGCCGTGTTCATGTAGGATATACTTATGTAAATATGTATCATTTTTGACAGGAGAGTTTTTAAATATTTTCACAACCTTTCTCACTTTTTTTCATGAGATCTTTGTAATTGCTAACCAATTCAGCAGATGGTCAGTCCAAAGTTATTGCCAAACCATATTCTTTATTTATAACTTCATCATCACCAGTGTTCTCATGTTCATCTTCTTCTCAATTTTCATTTGTAGTAAACGATTCTTCATCTTCTCCGTTGTTTTTCTTGTATAAGACATCAATAACTGCAAGTTGCATTCCATGAGAATAACATAGTTGATGATAGCAAGACATCATTTTACCGACTTTCACCATCACACTTGCTCCATCAGTGATCATGGCGATAATGTCTTTTTGGAGGTCGATATTGAAGCTATTTAGCCTTCCTGCAACTAACTTGACGCAATATTCTGCATTACACGATCCATGGGTTCGAATCAATCCAAGATTAAAGTGTTTTGCCCCCATATGTACATTTAAGTTAACATATCTCTGACTATTTTGTGATGTCCATTCGTCAAACGTTATTGAAAACTTTTGATTTTGCTTTTTTAATGTATAAATTTTTGCATTATATCGGCTTTTACAGAATCTGAGAATTTTACTACCATCGATCTTATAGTATTAGGTGAAGTAGGGAGCCGGAAACCACTCTTTAAAAACAAATACCGCAAATCTGAAGATGTGCAAAAACTATTAAATGTAAAGCCAATTTTAGCAACCATGCACGATACCAATTTTTCCATAGAAAGTTCTTTTACGAAAAACGTGTCTATTGCTTTGACCTTTTTTGATAGAATTACCTCTTCGTCTTCGCAGTCAATGTATATTTTAGGCTCTAGTTCAACTGATTCATGCTGTTTTGAAGTTGAAGCTCCGTCTTGTTGTAAAACGTTTAATTTTAAATCAGTTCCATGTTTAGTTTTTAAATGGATTAATAACCCTTTGTTGATCTTTGACTCATTTTTAAAATAGCTGAACATAACATGCACTTTGCATTTTCTCCTTTATTACTTTTTTTAAAATAATTCCATATAGTTTTAATTTGCAACATGCTTAGTAGGTACTTTTGTTTTAAAATCTTGATGTAAATAATTTTTGAAGTCTTTTTAAAAAGTAGTGCGTTTTTTATTAATCAAAAACAAAAAAAAATTTGAACGAGTTTCTCAGTATACATTTTATTGTGCATTTAATGACTAGTAAACTTTTAAATGAATTTGTTATGCAAATACATTAAATACTTTAATTTGATATCTTTTTCGTCTTTGTTTATAGAATTGCTTTTTTTTATTTAAAAGCAATAAATTCAAAACTCAGCAAATCCTGCGGATCCCGCAGTAGTTTTTGCGGGATCTCGCATGCGCTAAAATAATGTGGGATCCGGCGGGATTGCGGGATCACGCAATGCGGGATTGCAATCCCTAATCATATCAATATGTATTTATAAAGAACATATTGCTTGAACAAGTAGCTATTAGTTTAATAGACATATTTTAAATGCCTAACTATCTACTAATTATTGTAAATTCTCCATTAACTACTTACAAAAAGTTGTGTAAAAGTAAAAGATAACTAAATATAATTTTATTTAGTTATGTAACTTAACATGGTAATGTTAATTAGACATTATTATATCATTTTATTACTTTTTTTTATTGATGATAATAAATGTTTTATTACAACAAAACAATCAACAACAAAAGTTACATAATTTTGTTAAATTTAATGACATGATATTATGTAATGAAAATGACATTATTATTATGTAATGAAAGTAAAAAGAAACAAATTTATAAAATGTTCAACTATGTTTTGTAATAACTTTGTAAATTTTTTACAAAGCTATTACAAAACAAAAATAATTGTATTTGTATTCAAAATATATTTGCAAATTTTTTTTTTTGTAAAATATCTTTAGAAAAATTGAAAAACTAAAACATCAATAACTCCTTGATAAAACATAAGGCCAAATAAAAATTGGTTCGCAAAGTAGATATATGTTTAATATTTAAAATAACGAAAACCTTAACTTTTTTTCATCAGTCAGATTTTTTCTAGAACTATAGTTGTCAATGGCCTTTTTTATTGTCATTAACAAGTGCATTTTGAGGATCTAAAAATAAACTATATTTTATTGTTTTGAGAGATATAAGTTTATAATTATTCACCTCCCCAATCCCTGAGGGGGCCACTACAGTTGAGGAGGCTACTCATTTTTTTTTTTTTTTTTATGTTGTAAATCGTGGTACAACCCTCTCTCAACTTTTTAACTCCAAAACACGAACCTTGACAAGCAAGGCCGCTGCGCGGAGAAATTAAGTTGAGCGCGGTACTTCCAGGGACGTGGTGGGAGTCGAACTCCGAAACTCTCGCTTACTAAGTGAGCGCTTTTACCACTACACCACTACCGTATTATTTTCAGATTCAGCAGGTTTTAAACTCCTTTGGTACCAAGTTTTAGCTTCACAACATTACTACAAGTTTGTTAAAAGGGTAATGGTAAATTGACATATTTTCGGCTTTATCCCTTCCCCCCTCTTTTTTCAGTCAAAAAATAACTAACTTCAAGTTGCTGTAAATCTTAAAGGGTTGAGAATTTTTTGAAAAAATTTGAAAAAAGTCTTTCCTAACTTATATCTTTAAACATTTGTGCCAAATTTCAGCGAATTCGGTGATGCAGGATGCAACCCCTTGTTTTTTGAGAAATTTTTACCCACCAGCAACTTTTTTGCTTTTAACGACCTTGAAACTATTGAATGGATAGAGTATATCACAGTAAATTAACTTATAACCTAAATCAAAACAACCAGTTAAGTAACTTAAGATAGTTACTCAAGTATTAATTTAACAATTATATTAATTTATTTAATATACTTGCAAAAGTTAGCCATAGACATGTTTCAATTTAGATCTTACATGTTGTTAAAACATAATATAAGCTTTTAACTAATAATTATTTTAACAAAATTGCCGAATAGAAAATGAAAAACGCAACACCATTTTTTTATATTTTCATTTTATTTATAGCGACATCTAGACTAAACATTTTCTATAAATACGCAAGTTGTTTTCATGAAATTTTATTTAAAAAGAAATCTATTTGAACAAAAGAACTTTAGCCTTAAAATTCACTTATTCAAATAATTTTGTGATTGAAATTTTGAAACAAAAAATTTTTAAAGTTTGATGAAACAAGGGAGAATGAAGATGAAAGTTTTTTTTTCGTAAATCGTAAATTTTGTTAACGTTTTGAATTATATATTTTTTCTTGAAAATACTTTTAAAAGTAGAAACATTCTATTGCAAACATCAAGACTGTGATTGCAAATTGCAAGTTAAAATAAAAATTATAAAAATTTTAAATTAAATTTAATAAATTATTTTACTTCTGTATGAAAATTTTTTTTTCTAAAAAAATAATTTAAATTTTTTGTTTCACTTTTTTTTGGAAAACAATTAGAATTAAAAAAAATTGAATGAAAACATCAGTTTAAAAACCTTTTGAATGAAAAACTTAATTATACTTAAATTTTTAATAGTACGCTCGATCAGGAAACGATAATTTATAAAAGACGTAGTATTCAATGTTTTTATTGCTTTGATCTTACTCGTTTGGTCTATAGATTATAAACTCGTATAGGTCTATAGGCGCAAATATGAAGTTTTGTTTTAGTTTATTAACTAGCTCAATTTTATTTATTTGCTTCCTTTTATTTTAAACGCGTTTTATTTTATAAACTGTATAAAATCAAAACGAAACAGCGTCACAAATTTGTTTTACATTATTCCAAGCTCTTTATATTTTTAAAACAACTTTGCAGTTTGTTTTAATGTTGTTTGATAACTTTTAACAATTAAATACTTTTTTAAATTAACACGTGTTTTAACGTCAGCATGAACGTATTAAATAGTTTTCTTTAACTAATTAAAGTGGTTTAGATATTGTAATGTTGCTTTTTCTCTTACTTTTTTACTTTTACTTTTTTAACTATCATGTTAAGTAAAAATATACTTAAAGAAATATCTTAATAGTATTAAAAACGTTATTGCTTATTACAACTGCAACTTAAACTTTAAGTTATAACTTAAGTTGTAAATAATAAAAGTAACTTACCCTCTTTTAAACTCTGCCAAACAAGAGATTATAAGATTATTTTTAAATATGAGAGATAATATGTTAAAAATAGAACAATTACGTACAAAACTTACAATTATATACTAACGCAACTTCCCTTCCCCCCTTCCCCCCATTACCGCAAAGTGGTACAAGGTAAAGGGGGGGGGGGAATTTTTTTCGCGATTAGATTTTTTTGCGTTAATTCGAGCCCTACAATAGTTTGTGTTTCTGTAATTGCAAATAATATTAATATTTTAGTAGAAACAGTTTATATTTCTGGTCATTACCATACTGGTGGTCATTCCCATACTGGTATCTTACACAATTGGCAAGAGAAGCACTAGAAACTGTAACACATAAATTTGGATGCAAAGTAAAATGTTTTGTAACTGACAATTCAGCTAATTTGTAATAGGTTATTATTATATCTCTTTCAGATTGCCATCTAAAGAAGATATAATAATGCCCTATGGGTGGTCTGCTCATACTCTAAATCTTTTAGCAAATGATCCTAATATTGAAAATGTGAGCAAGTGTGTTACACAGATAATAAAGTATATGCGAAGTAATCATCAAGCTGGAGGAAGTTTTAGAGAAAGTGGAGGAACAAAATTACCATTTTCTACTGAAACATGCTTGAATTCTGTATGTGATTTATTTGAAAAATATGTCAATTACTGGAGCATCATTTTCACAATGTTTGAAAAAAATAGCAACTTGGATCCCACAATCGGTAGAAAAGTGACATATAGATAAAGCGAAATGCAGAATATTTGTTAAAAAAATTAAAACCAATTAGAGTTGCTCTAGATAAGTTGCAAAGAGATAAAACAAGAATAAGTGATACTGTTGAAATTTTTAAAGAGCTGATAAACATACAACTTTTACCAACCCAAAAAAAATATATTGGAAACTAGATATCTTCAAGCTGTCAGTGATGCTCATTTCTTAGCAAACACGCTGGACCCTTGATATTATGGATCTTTCTGAAAATAAAAATGAAGCTGCAATGACATTTGCAGATAAAGAATTTAAGAACTTGTTACCAATAATATTCAAGTTAAAAGCCAAGTCTGCTCCATTTGATAAAAGCTATTTGTATAATAAATCTGTTTTAAAAAATCACAAGTAAAATGGTGGAAATATCTAAAAATTTTGAACTGCAGCATGGGATTGAAGGCTTGTTAAGCTTTTAATGCTGAAATTGAAAGTATTTTTTCAACTTTTGGGTTTGTTCATTCTCAGTTAAGAAACAAGATGGAAGTAAAAAAGTAGCAAAGCTTGTTTTTATATACAGAACATTAATTAATGATGCATTGGTTGATAAATTATAGCAGTAATGTTAAAAGAAAATATAATTTACTCAAAACCATCGCTTTTTTTTGTGTTTTTTTATTTAAAAAACCATGGCTGTTGGGTTTTTTCAAAAAAAATGGTTTTTTTGCAACCTTGCTTGGCGATGACAATGGTTTGTGTTTTATAATTTTTTGGTACTTTAGTCATTTTCAAATTTGTTAAAGAACTTGACTTAAAACATAGATAGTACTCAGTACACTATTTATTAGCACAAGCAAATTGCCTCATTACTATTAATAAACCTTAAGCCATAGGGCTTCAAATGTGGCCTTGACAAAGCTCATCAAAAGTACAAACAGGGCACCATCCATGCGCAACATGGCACTGTTAGTACTCTGATATTTTACAGCTGTTGAGGGAATCAGCCACTCTGAGAGCTACCAGAGTTCGAGAAACCTGACTACCAGCCAGCATTGGAGCAATAAAACTGAGTTATACAGCTGTACCCTCATTAAGAGATAATAGAATGAGTTGCCTAGTCATTAAAACAGAGACACAAGCAAAACACATGCATTGAATCATGAAGATCCAGCATTCAACATCCTAAACTGGAAACAATGTATTATAAATACATCTAATAGATAAAGAAGGGGTGCAAGGCTGGTCAACAGATAGAATCTGTTTACCCCTTAAGTATGCAAGACAGTAGCCAGATGCTTTTAACATCTGCCTAAGATGCGTATTTTTATGAAAACACCATCTTTAGCCTTTACTCAACTAAGAGTCTCACATGCCCGCAAAAACAAGCGCATAATAAAAAGCTTGCCAAAAAAAATTAAATGTTTTATTTTGAACTGCAACAAAACATTTTCGTTTATTTGTTTAACTTTTATGAAAAATGCTTTTTTTATTATTTATTTTTTTTAGATGGGGTTTTTTTTTTCTTTTAATTATTTTATCTAGTATTTATTCAAATCATTCTTTCCGTTATTTTAATTTTAATTTAAATAGTAGAAAAAAATGAATTTTTTAAAATCGACCAGAAAATGACAATTAATTAATCAAATTTCCAATGGAGAAGACTGATACATATATACATTTATAAGATAATTAATCTATAGCATTACATTGATTCTCTATATCAGTATATTTTATTATAAAGAACAATTAAAAAAAATACCTTTTTTACAACAGAATCCTTAGTTGTCATGTTATAATTTCCATCTGAGACATGAATTACACCCAATGGTATTCTTGCATTTAATTTTTCGCTATTTTGAGATAAATTACTGCTAGATTTAAAATTTAAATTCATGCCCTGACCATATTCTGTTTTTGAAGTTATAACTTTATTTTCCATTGTCTTATTTTTTTGTTCACAAACAGATCGTTCTATAAGTTTTGCGCTATCCTTCAGCTCAATCACATCAAAATCCTTTTGAGTTTCTTTGTCAACTAATTCAATCTCTTTCTTTTTATCAATAACAGAACTAACACAAGAATTCTTTTCTTTCCTATATCTTTCTGTGTGTGCTTGAAGTCTTTTGTTTTTCATAAGAATTTTTTCCGTTTGAGTAGAAGTAGTAACAAAAACAATATCTCTTCTTGTGTTTACCCCTTTTATCTTGTTTAAAATAACTGTTGAAACATACTTCTCTAATGTTTGTTTAGTTTGTTCTAAACTATTCCTAATTTGTGTGAGTAAGTCAACATTTAATGAAAAGCCATTATCCTAAAAATACAATCGACAACACTATACATAAAAATCATATCAATATTTAGTAACACTTTTCACTGTAAAAATAAATAACAAAATAATTGATTGTTATATTTAACTGTCATTAAATAATTTTTGAAACCAAATTTCTACCTTTTGGCAAGAGCACTTTAATAAAGCATTATGTGAGATACTCAAACTTTTACGCATTTCTATTAACTCCAACTGAAAGTTGAACGCTTCTTTTTGAAAATTTTTTGCAGCACATCGGGATTCCTCTAAAAAAAGTTATTTTATTAACAACTTGTATTTCAATGATCTATTTATTATACTATTGATCTATTATATTTGTTTATTAGTTATTATTTTATCTATATTATTGATCTATTAGCATATTTAACCAAATGGTATGCATTTTTTAAATGAATAATCAATTTTAATGCGAAAACCCAAGCAAATGTATAAACAATCCACTGTACTTATTCTTAAATCAGTCAATGTATATACACTCCACTGCACCAATCATTAAATAAGTACACATGAGTAAAAATACTGACCATTTAATTAAATATACTGACCACTTAACTAACCGCCTTTATTCAGGTTATTATTAAGTGAGGCAAAAAGTTTATTAAATGAATTAAAAAACCGTTTATGCAAAAAAAAAAAAAAAAAGAAGAAGCTAGGGAATCCTAGACCTTCATAAAATATATCACCAAGAAGAGGTCTTGGGAGTGAATCCTGCAATATCCCTGACAGTACTAATTCTAACTGTTTCTCAGTGAAGCAGCAATGTATTATGGTTAAAGAGTTAATTATTTAAGAAAATATCAAATGTTAAAATTTTAATAAAAATATATTTTGACCTACATATGTGTGTATATATAAATAAATAAATATATATATATATATATATACATATATATATATATATATATATATATATATATATATATATATATATATATATATATATATATATATATATATATATATATATATATATATATATATGTATATGTATATGTATATGTATATGTATGTATATATATATATATATATATATATATATATATATATATATATATATATATATATATATATATATATAAAATTAAAATTCAATAAATACAGCTGCATATAAACTTTTTAAAAAAATATATATATTAATTTTATTTCAATATATATTATTCGATATTTTGCTGATCTATTGTGATCATCGTCATCAGGTATAATAAATATCATTACAAAGAAAATCCTTATAATAAAAATAAACCGTTAAAAAGATAACATTAAAAAGAGCATTAAAAAATACAAAATAGGATTAAATGTTTACATCAGATAACCTAATAAAAAATGGCCTCCAAGCTTGTGATGTTATCACCATCATCCCTATTAAGAACATTTTTGCCACTTCACAGCGTTTATCAAACTTTAGCTTTGTTTATTTCCAGGGATTCTCAAATTTTCCAAATATGATTTTTGGAGCTACTGATATGGTTTTCGAGTTAAACCAGTCAAACCTACCTTAGCATGATTTGGATTGCTCAGTAGCATTAGCACTGACCTATTTTTATTTTTACAACTTTTCTGGTGCTCAATATATCTTGATAAAATTTCCTTTTTAGTTTCACCAATGTATATAGAGTTGCATGAACATTTGGTAGACGTCTGGGTTTGGAGGAAGTTTTGTTTTATTGTTACAGAATATATTGTTCAAATTTGGAGTTTATGTAAGACAACAATCACATTTCTCAATCTAGGTCCAAAGTTTGTGGCATTACAGAAAAAAATCTTTTATATTTACATTATAACAAATGTTGAAATGTGCTTTGCGACTTGAAAAACAGGATAAATCAACACAGGCTGAATCTCTAAGACAAAACTTTTCTAAAATTTTGACAAATTTGTTAAAACTAAGATTCAAAGATAATTTAACTAAACAACAACATATTTTGCCACATGAGATTTCTAGAGCTTCTGAAAAATAAGATTTGGCTTTTGTGCCAATATCAATTAACTTTAGTGGTTTACAATTTTTTGAGTCAATCACATCAATCATCAGCAGCTCATTAATAGATTTTATGGAATTGCTGCCATTATTATTAACATACAGAAGCTTAGTTTTGATAAACTTGGACATTAATGCAACAAAATATTTTGACATTTCAGAGTATATCAGGTGAATTCTTGGTTTAATTGATTGAAATGTTTTTAAAAATATTTCAAAGTCATTTGCTATGAAAGCAATAAAAGAAATATACGGCATCGATATTTCATTTTGCAAAATATCTGTAATACTCTTATATCTTTCAGTATCTCTAACAATTGATTTAAAAGATGTAGTTGTTGGAAGAAATTTTATAAAATATACACAAAGATTCTTGTGTTGTTCTAAAATCTGAGAACATATTCTTCTGAGTGTCACCCATCTTGTTGAAGAATGTCTTTGAATAAAGTGTGAAATAATTTCTGTTAGATCTTCTATTTGTCGATAGTCAGATCTTCTTGCAGCAGAATGTTTAAAGAAAAAGTTAACATCAATTGCAAATGAGTCAATGTTGAAATTTAAAACATTAACTCCTGCTCTAAATGCATTATGAACTATATGAAGAGGGCATGTGCCTATTGATATAATGTTTTTATTTAAATTTTTCATTTTCTCTGACGACTTTAAAAGTCTCTCAAACTTAATATTTACATTAGGACCATACATACCAATATGGAGCATAAACTTTATGTTAAGCTTAACTTTTTCTACAAGCTCGAGGAAATGTTCTAACAATTTTTCAGCAGTACAATGGTCTACCATGAGAGTTCCACAGTATGCAATTTTAATGCACTTGTGCTTTCTAGACCAATATTGTACATAACCATCATACTGTTTATTAACTTGTTAATTAGTAGATTCGTCAAATATAAAAGTAAAAACAGTATCATTTAAATCCTCCAATAACAATGTTTTTAAATATGGAAAGATGCCGTACTGAATGGTGTATTTAGACCTAGTTTCACTTTGTCTGTATCCTTTAGCAATTTTTGAATCTAGAAACATTGCTTCAAACATTTTACTTTCTCCATTGGTTGAGGCAAAAGAATAGTTAGACTCAACACATGAATGAAACTTAATTAAACTATGAATGATTTCAGCTTTTAAAATCTCTTCTTCAATGGTGTAACTAATCTTAGAAGCTTTTAATTCAAGTATTTTATCTTTATTTTTACTAAATTCTGATTGTCCTTCTCTTTCTTTAAACCTTGATGTGTGAAGTTTGCTAATTGCATGGCTTCTTACTTGTCCAGCTCCACTTCCACTGATTGAAAAGTTTTTCTGGCACAATTTGCAACTTGCAGAATAGTGATCACCAGAACAAACTTGGATCCAGTTAAACTCAGACTCCCACAATTTATTATATTTTGTTTTTCTCTTAGACATCTTATAAATAAACAGTTGAACTATAATTTCACAAAGTAATCTAAAAACTTTTTACAACTTTTTCTATTTTACAGACTGATATAAAAACAACAATAAAGTTGACAATTAATAATAATTACACATTCAATAGATATGAATAATAATGACTTTGTAGTACACACTGTTTTTTGACAGATTAATAATTATTTTCAAATACGCACATTTTAATGTACACACAATATGAATAATTTACAATAATATACTTATAGTAATGTTGTTGTTTTTTATAAAAAAACAACATTACTATAAGTATATTATTGTATAAAAACATTTATTGAAAAAAATCTTTTAAAATTTTAGGATATTTTAGGACATAACCCCATAAATTATGACATTTTATGACAAAAAAGTAAAATTGTAAAAATTTGGGACATTTTGGGATTTTGGGACACTCTGGGAGGCCTGATATTATCACAGACATATTTAAAGGGTTTTTATGCTATGCAGAAAGAATATGTTCTCAAAAATACCTCCAACAAGAAATTGATTTTTTAATAAAAATATTTGTTGAAAACAGGCACGTCAAGAACAATTTAAATAATATCGCTAGAGATTATATGAAAAAAATACCAATTATCAACCAACTGACAACCAACCATTTATAAAACTACCATGGATACCAATTGTTGGCCCCAACCTTAGAGAAGAACTTAAAAAACAAAACATAAAAGTTATATTTAAATTAACTCCAAATTAAAACAATATATTCTGTAACAATAAAACAAAACTTCCTCTAAATACAAACCCAGGCATCTACCAAATAAAATGTTCATGCAACTCTATATACATTGGTGAAACCAAAAAGAAAAGTATATCAAGTTATATTGAGTACTAGAAAAATAATAAAAAAAGAAAATGGGCCAGTTCTGGTGCTACTGAGCATTCCAAACCATGCCAAGGTACATTTGACTGGTTAAAGCCGAAAACCATAGTAGCTCCAGAAAATCATATTCGGAAAATTCGAGAATCCCTGGAAATAAACAAACCTAAAGTTCGACAAACGCTGTGAAGTGGCGAAAATGTTCTTAATAGGGATGATGGTGATAACATCACAAGCTTGGAGGCCATTTTTTATTAGGTTATCTGATGTAAACATTTAATCCTATTTTGTATTTTCTAATGCTCTTTTTAATGTTATCTTTTTAACGGTTTATTTTTATTATAACGATTTTCTTTGTAATGATATTTATTATACCTGATGACGATGATCACAATAGATCAGCGAAATATCGAATAATATATATTGAAATAAAATTAATATATATTTTTTCAAAAAAAGTTTATATGCAGTGGTATTTATTGAATTTTAATAACATTTAATCGTATAACAAGAAAATGAATTTTAAAGAATAAACTTTAATACTTGACTCTTCAAATATAAAAAGTGTTATTTAATGAGCATTAAATTTTCTTTAAAATAAATTTAGATGTTCATTAAAATATTAATTGATGCACTCATTATTAATTTTTTTTACACATATCACAGGCCTTGCGATAAAGCGTCGGGCGATGTGAATTTTACGTCGTCCAAGAGCAATTTTGCGTGTAGCTAGGGCTATTTGCGTCGAGCAAAAAATTTTTTGTTTGAGTATATTTAAAGATATTTTTGAGCGGAATTTTAATGAAGTAATTTACGATTATTTTAACATTTAATAAAGTATTTTAAAAACCGCACTCTGTTGAAATAAAAGTTTGAATATAAAAAAATTAAATATGCTCATTATTTATTCAAAAAATTCAAAAATTAAAAAAAAAGTTTAAATCTTTTAAGCTAACATTTAATTAAAAATATTCAGCAATAGC